GGGGGGGGGGGGGGTCGAGCGTACAGGGGATTCTTGGGGACTTTTTGCTGGGAGTCCCTGACACCCCAATGAACAACTTGGGCACATAAAACCTTATATGTAAATTTTTTTTTCTATTTTTCCGATAATGCCTGGACTAGCTCCGAAATTTTAAAAAAATGAGCTCTGTAGTTTGATAGAGCCAAAGATAGTAAATTTTGAAGGTAAAAAAGCATCGCAACTTGGAGATTTTGGGGAAAATTTTAACACCCCCCCCCCCAATTTTCAGTCCCCGTCACAGAAGGAGGCTAAAATTTTGCACTCGTCAGTTTTTCTGTTAGTATAGCAAGTATACATGATTTCATAGAAAACGGAGGGGGTCATGAGAATTTTTGCCTTTTTTTTTATTTATTTGGCATGGAATAATCCGAGATTTCTTTGTAAAGAATGAGGTCCTCTGGTATTTGAAGAGTTACGGCAACTTTACAGAGGTATTCAACCTACTTCTTTGTAGACAACCGCAGAATGACAGGGGAAAAGGCGTGACATAGCAGATCATTTCTGCCAATCTTTTTTTTTTTCAGATTTTTTACTTCCTATCGAAAAAAAATAGGCACCACTATGTAATTCTCATTTTGAAACGTATGAGGTTATAAAAATCATATCTTCCAAGTTCAAAATTTATTCTTTGAAATTTTACAGATTGAGATATTAAAGTGAACAGAGAATTTCCCTTTAGATTACAGGTTCTAGAGGGGACTTCAAGATAAAAGGGTAACTCAGTCGAAAAAAGAATTAATGTTTTACAGTACCTGTGCTGTTCAGTCATAGCAAGCTCGATAACATCATCCAATAAAAGCAAGTTTATGCTGAGAATACTGTCTAATGGTAAAATGATCTGCTTTTGGATAACAAGCCAATCTAAGTCTTCTTGATCCACTGTGTATCGAAAGAGCTCGGGATGCTGCAGAAGCAACTCACTGTCGATGCCAATGTCCTGATAGGTTGGAAGAACAAAATGAGTAAATATTCACATATATTGAAGTATCCATATCTCAAGTGCGCCCTGATTGTTAGAACAGTCATAATGTTTAATCCATCTTTACTGGCTTACAAACTTCCGTTACAGTAGCAGGGCAAGCTTATCTTTGTACTGCTTATCCCGCCAAAAACATTTTCATATTAAGATGAACCGCCAAGCTAAAAATATAAACATTTGTCTCGCCCGAAAAAGTTTCCCGTCCCTTCAAAAGATTACATTATTTTTTTTTTGTAGTATAAGCGTACCAAAAAAAATTGATAAATTTGTATCGATTTTTTTAAATTATTTTTTCGGTCAACATTTTGTGTTTTCCCGATAATACTGTTGAAGGGAGGAGAAACTTTAAATTAATATTGATAAAATTTATTTGCCACCTATTTTGGGGGATATCACTGCATTTCCAGCGAGAAATGTTTATATTTTTAGCTGGGCAATTCATCTTTACATGAAAATGTTTTCGGTGGGGTATCACGGGGTTTTCCATGCAAGTTCACAAATGAATAGAGAGAAAATATCGTCCAGATTTTTTAAGATGATGCAGGAATAGTTACTAGCAGGCTGTCTGGTCATGTTTGTATGGTTTGATTGAAGTATTAGTAGAATGCTAGTATTTGTATATTTTTCAAAGCAATTTCTGTCACCAGAGCTTGCGTTTAGTCAGTTTACGATCAGCTGCAAATCATGTGAACATTAATCTCACCCAATGAGACAGATTAAGCATAACTCATGGGCTACTTAAGGCAGCAGTGCCAAAAAATACTCCCTAGTACCGAGTTTCATTAAAATTGACTAAATAGGAACTGAGATAGCATTGTAGGACATACTCACCATCTTCAGTAGAGATATAAACAGTATTTAGCGCTGAGACAAGATTAAAGCACTTATAATTGGTAAAACTAGAGATAAGGAGAAATAACCTAATAGAAATTTCGAAATTCCAAGTTTCACGAAAATCACTGGGGCAGGAGCCGAGACGGCATTTTAGTCCACTTCCGCCATTTTGAATAAGCAAATTTCTCGTCGATAATTACCCTCTGCTACAAACATTCACGAAACTCGATGGAACAGCAGCCGAGATGGCATTTGAGACCACGTCTGCCACCTTGGATTTGAAATTTTGACCAAAAATTTGAGTTTCCCATCGAAAAATAGCGCGGCCGTATGAGATGTTTGATTATAAGCTGGATGAACTCCTTCAGTGAAATGTATTCCTCTCTCCCTCTTATCTAAAAACTAAGTATTACGTGAGTTATGACGTTTCAAAAACAGGAACGTTTCTCATAACATTGCTACGCCACACAATGTTTGCATGACTTCGTCGTCTTATTCTTGTTCCTCTTCCTCTTTTCCTTGTTCTTATCCCCCTTCTTTTTCCTCTACCTCACCTTCGTCTTCTATATCTTTCCTTCCAAGCACTTCTTTATTACATTCCTCTTCTTCTTTTTCTTTCTTCATAATAAAGAAGTGCTTGGAAGGAAAGATATAGAAGATGAAGGTGAGGTAGAGGAAAAAGAAGGGGGATAAGAACAAGGAAAAGAGGAAGAGGAACAAGAATAAGACGACGAAGTCATGCAAACATTGTGTGGCGTAGCAATGTTATGAGAAATGTTCCTGTTTTTGAAACATCGTAACTCACGTAATACTTAGTTTTAAAAAAACGGCACTCTCTTGTCCAAACACGAAGAACCATCGGCATGTATTTCACTATAAATCCGCTATACACATATACATACATACACACATAAATTGAACCAAAAAAATGACCTTCAAGCTTTGTGAAATCAAGAAAGACACCATGACTTGTGGAATTTTCACTCCAGTAAAAGTTCGAACATCAAGGATTTCTTTCAATTTTGGTGGAAAAACAACATAGAGAGGCTAATGAATAGAATGCTTACCTTTACGTTACATGGAGATATTACAAATAATGTGTTGGCTTTAATTCTACTCGGACTCCACTTTGACTCTGAGTCAAGAGGGCTGGCTAGAGAGAAGAGAGATTTATCTGAGGTCGAAGAGGGCGATTCATATAATTTCAGCTTTATGGAATCATCAATTGATTCATGCAGGGATTCATTTAGAGAATCTTGCAAAGGGCTACTCAATGCACTGTTCATATTGTCAATGTCACAAGTTAATGAGCCATTTAATGGATTGTTTAAGTTATTGTTTAATTGACTATTCAGGGCATTCATTTCTAGATTGACAGAATCTGGTATTGGTCTTTTCAGCGTATATGCAATTAGTTCATCTGAAATACTATTCCTCCTGCTGAATGAGTTGGTTGGAAGTTCTCCACTAGTACCCTTCGATTTTACCATGAAGGTAGCTTTGGGTCGTTCAACATCCTCTTGCTTTCCTTGCTTCTCAAGCCGCTTCTGTTTTTCTGATGAATAATTCTACAACAAAGAGGAAATGACACCGATAAGTTCTACTTAGGGAATCAAAGTGACACTTTTGAGAGCTATTTCTTTTGCCCTTGAATGAAAGTATCGTAAATAAGTGCAAGTATTCAGCCTTTCTAACATATTGTGTGCCACTAAATGCTTTTTGACTAAAAGACGGCCATGGAAAAGGAAGAATTGCAGCCTGGTAAATAAAGAGCTATGGGACTCAACCTACAAGGCCATAAATTATCACCCAATTTCAAGTTGGAAGCACAGAAAAGTCGCATCATCTGAGCATCTCAAACTTGTTGCTCATTGAGGGTTGTCTTCATAAATTTGCGAGCGAAGCAAGCATACAAGTCCCTACTTAAGTAACAACGCACCATAGCTTGACGATCATTATCATACTAAAAATCTTTAAAAATTGGCAGCGGCCGCTTGCATAAAGTGCTATGGGACTTTACCTAACCTAGCATATTTTAATGAGTTACTTTGGCTTACTTTGAGTTGCGGCCAGCTTCTGAGGTTTAAACCTCTATTTTTCTAGGAAAAATAATTACTTTTTTACCACTTATACACTTTCACATGGAACCAAAGAAACTTGTTAAAATTGAAAAAATAGCAAACTGAAGTCAAAAGAGGAACACTCATGTATGTGTCTGCACCGGTTACCTACAAAGAACAGAAACTAAGTCACCGCCTTACCTTTGACAATCGACAGTCAATTAATTGAGAGACATCTGTAGGTGAGCATTTACTTTTTGACACAGGACTATTTGCATACATTAATTTTGCATTTTCGAGGATAGTCCGGCAAACTTCACGGATTTGTTCCTCCTTTACACTAGCATCACCCATATTCAGCCGAATATTCGTTACAGCAGGCGCAAAATACTTCTGAAAAGTGAAAATTGTCTTACTTTCGACACTGAGAAGTAATTTTCTTGAGTTACAAACGTTCTTTCTTTCTGTTTACAAGGTCTGTTAGATTAGAAACCGGATTTTGGTGATAACTAGCCCACAATGCGTCCAAATTAGGTTTTCTTTGACTTTTCTGATAGCTGGAAATATACTTAAGATCGCTACGTTCACAAATTTGAAAAATCTTAATTAGCTTCGTTGGTATGTGGCTTGGAGTAAGGCAACCTCATGGGTGTTCTGCGATTTTTATGTTTGACCGAACTTGTTTCTCTTTTTTGGTCTTGCACTACCTTTTTCAACTCACAAGGATGATTGGAGTTTCGTCTCCACATCGAGGCCGTACACACAAGTTTTGTCACCGAAAATTATCCTATCAAAAAATGTAGGATCATTGTTGAACGTTCAAGCAGCCAAAGGAAAATTGATATTCGGTTGGATTTTGGTTCAACGGACAACAGTCAAGGGGCAAGTGTACCTAAAACTCGATGCATGTCTACATATTCTATCAAAACTGTATCTACAGAACCTTTAGGAATATTACACTGTTCAGCAAAGTCGAAACGACCATTTTCGCGCACTTTTGCCCGCACTTCTCCCACGTAACAAATGTCAGTTGCCGTTGATGGTCGATTCCTGTGCTCCTCATCTTCGACGGACTCCTGGTCGGTTTTAAATCGTTTAACCCACTCAAAACAGTGAGAACGACTCTACAATGATCTTGGTAAAGTTTACTTAACATACCCAAAGTTTCGGCACAAGGTATACCGAGTTTAAAATAAAATGTAATGTTAAATCTTTGCCCTATCAGTGATCGCATGATAAAAATCGCAGAACGCACCTGACTTACTCGTATTCAAGGTGACACGGAATGGACACTGATCAGAATAAACAAAATCTGTGATCGTAGTGTTTTTTGGCATATTATCAGCTATCAGGAAAGTTCAAGAAAACCTCATTCGAACACATTGCGGACTAGTTATCACCAAAATCCGGTTTCTAATCTAGCAGACCTCGTACATTAATCACATTAGGTAACTGCTGCGCTGATAGTTCTTTCTTGTAAAATGTATGCATTGAAGGCCAACTTGGTGTTGATCCACCAATTAAGACTAACATCTAAACCAAAGAGTTGGGTCGCTTCGGGTCAAGATAATTCATTTAACCGGCATGAAATTTAGTAAAAATATCATTTAAGATACCTAGCAGGCAAGTCAATCGAGAAACAAGCCGCACTTGTCATATACCCCTGTATTCTGCCGTGTTAAGGGAAAACGCCGTACGAACATTCGAGAGTTGCCAAATTTCTTTCAATAAAATGTTTATTTTAGAGGAAAATTATAAATATTTTTCCTTGAAATTTTCAGACACTTAAAATCAAATTACAAACAAAATTATCAGAGAAATTGGCAGAAAAATATTCAAAAATTTCCTGAAATTTAGTGATTAGCCACAGGAAATTTGGCAACGCCTGAAGGCTTATACGGCGTTTTTCCTTGGCACGGCAGTATTCGGCCGCTATTTTCCAAGATGGCCGTCGGAAGCGGGAATATGTTATTTTCTCGTTTCCTGGCGGCTTTAATATACCGATTGACATGATACTTGGTAGAATTATTCATGAAGGTGGAACAAGACAAAATTTAGACAAAAGTTCAGTCGGCCATATTTTAACTAATTGCCGCCATTTTGGAAATTAGTGGCCCAGCTAGCCGCTTAAAATTTGGCAAAATTAAACATGCCAGAGGAAAAATGATGGGACGGCGTACGAAAGGAACATGTTGATGGTTAAAGCGCAAGATCACGTATCTCCATTGCGGTGTTTCAAAATCTCTGCTTTCATTTCATTTTTTCGAAGAGGAACGAGCTAACTTTTAAACTAGAACTTATACAGAACTTTCTACTGATAGAGAAGAAATATCAAGGAAGTTTTCAAGAAATTAAGTTTACCAGTTTTCCACAGAGAAAATAAAGTATAACAGCAAGTCTGTGAAATCGCATACAAAGATACATGGTTTCGCATTTTGGCCATCAATATGTGACATTTTCAAGAGGTAAGTTCAATCAATCATTGGGGCACCATATTGTAAAATAGATAAATTAATGGTCAGTAAAGTCGACTGACTTCACTGTCGGCGATAATTTTATCTCTCTCACTTGGAAGTAAAGAATAACTTCATACAGCATAGTTTTCAGCATAGGTACAGCGGGGATTCATAAATTATGGACTAAGGCCTTTATAAAATTTTGCGAGGAACACAAATGTTATTTAAAAAAAAAATAATAAAAAAAACCATGCTCATAATAAGCTCTCAAACTTGAAACTGTAATAAAGGGAATTCCTACGTTACGAGAAAGTCTACCTCCATATCCAGTCAAACCCTCCATGTGCAGAAAGGGAATGCATACATCATGCGGGATGCCATGGCTGCAGTCTTGGAGTCTTCACATAGAAAGGCAATCCTTGGAATATAGGTACTTGCTCCCTAACGATGAATGGAGCGTTTGACTGAATGTAATGGTGGACTCTCTCATAACGAGGGGAATCCGGTGCATTACAGCCTCGAATTTGAGAGATAATTTTGAGAGTTCGTTCCAGGAACATCCAGTTGCTCCATTTTGATTCTCGAGGAATTTTACATAGGATAAGGTAATTTAATTGAAAATTCCTGTTGCAGACTGGAACTCTATTGTACTTTTTGTGATTTTTGACTGTAATACTAAGCGTTACTTCCTAGATATTTCATTTAGATGTTTTCTATGGAATGGTTTCCTTTCAAAAGAGATTTAAAACTTTTTCTTTTTTTCCCTTCAGAGGCGCTATAGTCATTTTATGCTAGGCTATTGTATCTATTACTGATTATGTTCATACTTAAGTCGTAAAAAGGAACGTGCATGTATCCATTTGTTTCTATTTACTAAATATTTTGAAGAGATTTTTTTTAAACTTATTCGCGAATTTTCTCCTATAGGGGAACATCTTATACTTGATTTACTTGTTAACTCTCGCCAAAAAACTTAAAAAATTCCTGAGCTATGTGTTCTATGTTTTAACTTACCTACATCTTAAAAAAAGGCTTAATTAATATTTCCAGGAATAGTATCACATAATGCAGCGCAAAATAGACATCCTGAAACCTCCTTCTATCTCAGAACTTTGTTGAGGGAATTATATTATATTCAAAATAATTTGGTAAACTTACATGTTTTAGTTTTGAAGTTTTCCCAATTTTTACAAAAAACATTATATGCCATGTATGGACACATTCAGCTACACCGTGAAAGGTTTAGAAGTAATAATTCAAGACACTAAAGTAACGTAACCACGGTACAAAATATACAGACTGAAAAATGTTTACAACAATATGCCTTAATTCTTACAAATGATTTTTTATATAATATAATCACACTAGGGAAGTTCTGAGGTGGAAAGAGGTTTCAGTGTGATTATTTTGCGCTGCAATATGTTATTCTCTTCCTGAAGGCTTGAAAATGGCAGAGTATCTAAAACAGCTGACATTAAGTTGTCAAGATACTTTTTCTGAATATTTTGTAGCTGCGATGGATTAATACCAGAGCCCAAAAATTTCATCTTTATGCCCTTTCTAACGAGGTACCACAATTAAAGGAGAGGTTGCCATTTAAAAAAAGTTAGGGCCAGTTTTCTCCCTTGAGAGGCAGAAGCTCCCTTTGACTGTGAGCACCCCCACAGTTTCAACTTAACAGCTCAAGTACAAAAAAGCTATCAGAATGGTACCGGACTTATGGATTACACTGTATAACATGTTGGATCAAAAGACAATAATTCTCCAGAGATTGTTCCTGTAACCTTCGACGTATATATTGGAACAATGCCTGTGGAGGACTGAAAGATGAACACTTTGCTATTGAAGAAGAATAAACAGGAAAACTTAAAGAAATACCTGCAAGTAAGATTTAATGACATTGTCAATATCATCGTTGAGAGCAGACTGTAGATTTTGTCTTAGGATGTCTAATGATTTGCTTGCACTCATTATGTATCGACTTCGAATTTTTTGAGCTTTCATGCTTGTTTCTCTAATTCCTGATTGCCGTCCAGCTAGTGTGGCTAGATTCATTTGTCGCATGCTGAATATATTCTTCTGAAAAAGAGAGCAATCTTCAACTCAAAAAGGAAATAGCTACCCGGGATTTTTGCAGACTAGGGTCCCTTGTATGGACTATTTGCCCGGACTTATCAAATAAATACAGAGTCTAGTTTCTGTAGCAAAAATATGCAATATCATCGGGTATTATTTAGACCTCCAGACAAGTTTGTAAAAGTTTTGAATTTACTTTTTTTTCCATTATGAGAAAACATGGTAGGGGGGAACATCTAATTTCATTGCCTCCCCTTGTAAGCCACATTAAAAAAAAAAAAGGCAAAATCGTGTGCTGATCGGAGTGGTGTCACGCAAAAAACACAAATCTTTAGTCAAACATACGTCATTTGATCAAATCAGAAGTCGTTAAATTTTCCATTTCAATTCCACAATTTGAGAAATATTCCATCTATAATGCCAAAAAACTAATTTGTTCCGACAAGATCCCAAAAAGTACTCGCGTGGCAAACAACTTCAAAATCTCCCAGATTATAAGGCTTAGATAACCAACTATAAGAGTCCAAAGAGGTTCTCGGATTTTTAGTGTACTTCCTTCGGAAAATACACTACTGCATTCTCCCATAATGTCGGACTCAGACCTGAGACTTTCTAAAGAGCACCGACCATAGGTCATAGATGACGAAAACATATGCCATTCAAATTCATGTGTATATAATCAGGGTGTCCCAGACCACCCGTGCCAGGTCTTTTTCTCGGTTGGTCCAGGTCGTACGAAGTTGCAGACCGCAGGGTTGAAGAGGGAATCGATTCCAAAAAATCGGTATTTCATGGTTCCGGAACCACCATTTCTAAATCCATGTCTGTAAATATTACGTTACGGATCTCTCGGCATGACGTCAACTTAATATTCCAATGCATGCTGTCTCAGCTGAACACTCTCCTCTCGGTCTTGTACTAGTACTCATTAGAGCTCAAAATTTTTTAATGTAATTGAAATTTTTGGAGCTTTTTGGCTTTGTTTTCCCTGTAAAATGGTGTGGACCTAGCACCATTTCACCACCTTGTACCATATAGTGTGGGCCATTTCTTCGTGTTTTTTTCTCATATACGCATGTTGCATTTTGAATTTTGCATCAATACCAAACCAGTCTTGAGGGAGAACTATCACCTTTAAAAATTTCAGCTTAAAATATTTATTTTAACTCGATTTATCGAGTGGACAAAAGAGCTTGATGCAAAAACGGCTTCCCCCCCCCCCCCCCCTGTAATTTCTTCAAACTTGTCTATTGATTACTCAAACTTGAGCGCTTCTTTTCCCAAATTTTCAGACCCCGAAAAAATTTTAAGGGGGCGCTAAGGGGGGCGGAAGTCATAACCTGTGAACCCCAAAGGAACTCTCAAAGGAAGAAATTTATCGAGGTCCGGTTTGGACGAAAAATCGTCTAAAATTGCATAATGCATACTTCAAGATTCTAAAGGTCAAAATCCCGATATCACATTTTTAAGTTAACATAAGTGCTTCTTTTCGGTTTTTGAGTTGAGAAAATTTCTTTTAAACAATAAATTCACAAGGTAAGTACTCATTTTTTTATTTGAATTAATGCAAGTTTTTTAAATTGTTCGTCTTCTAAATACTTCCAAAAATTCACTTTTTAGCAAGTATCTGTAATTTTTGAACTCAGCAACCCTCAAGAATCCCTAAAAACGTCCTTTGCACGGTTTGAACATACAATCTGATTCATTAACACCCAAATCCGGCTTTGAAACCATAATTTAGCGCGCGAAAATCGGTCGGCGCGCGTTGAGGGGAAACTTTAATCGCTCATAATTTCGGAACCGTTCATTTCCCCAGGCTTATGGACCAATCGTTGGATGCGGAAAAAGACGAACCATTTAACAAACTGGTTTTGATTCAAATAAAAAAATGAGTACCTTGTGAATTATTTGTTTTAAAGAAATTTTCTCGACTCATAAGCTGAGAAAAAGCACATACATATATGTCAACTTGAAAATGTGAAATCGGGATTTTGACCTTTGGAATCTTGAAGTATGCAATTTTAGACGATTTTTCCAAATCGGACCTCGATATATTTCTTCCTTCGAGAGGTATCGGAGTTTACAGGTTTTGACTTCCACCACCCCCCCCCCCCCCC